GGAGGTTCTGCTTTGTTTTGCCTGAGGCACTTTTTACCTTCTGCCAGTAAATCCATAAGCAACAAGCCGCCGCAGGAGCATGCACTGCGGGAGGAATAAAAGACGCTGAGTCTTGAGTCTTGAGACGGCGCTTAAGGCTCTTCTTCAGCTGCAAGAGATTAGGGTGTTGGTGCCAGGAGGGAATGTAAACTTTCGACTCGCGAGGTTGAATCGCAAGCTGCAGATCGGCCAACATGTACTTCTTCATATTGTTGTAGGTGTTTGTGCAGCTTCTCGCTGACAATATAGGATTTACTGGCTCGCTGTACACTGTGTGCATGCAGGTTTAGCTTGTTCCTGCTTTGTTTTGCTTGAGGCACTTTTTACCTTCTGCGAGTAAAATTCTAACTACTATCACACTGTGTCGGACACTGGCAGCTTGGCATGCCATGCCAAGATAGCAGTCGAGCATCTGAGCATAGCGATGCGGGAAAGCCTTGAGGGGATAGGAGGTTTTACTCGAATAAGTGCCTCAAGCAGAAGAAAGCTGCAACTAGCAAAACCGGCAGGCATAGAGACACAGCAAAAGTACTCTTCTGCCACAGCATCCACCCACCGTAACTGGCACTGGTATAGGATTTACTGGCAGAAGGTAAAAGTGCCTCAAGCAAAACAAAGCAGGAACAAGCTGAACCGGCAGGCACTGCTCCTTCTCGGTTGCTGCTTTCTTCTGCTTGAGGCAATTTTTGCCTTATGCGAGAAAAACTCAGACTCGAGCTTCTCCATGTCGCAGACCTTTCCCCCTCTGTTTGAGTCTTGGCCTACGCTGACAACGTCGTCATTGTTGCCAGGGCCACTCGAGGATGCCGTTGTCAGTTACCTCCGCAATGAAGAAGTACATGAGGCACTTTTTACCTTCTGCGAGCAAACATTCACATGTTGGCTGATTTGAAGCTTGAGATTCAACCGCTAAAGAAGAACCTGAAGCGCCGTCTCAAGACTCAGCTTCTCCCCGGAGGCCTGCCCATGATCGGCACCGATGGTTTTCGCGGAGGCTGGTCCGAGCTCTGCGCTCAGTAGACGCTTCCTCTCCGAAACTGTCTCTGTCATTCTTGCTGTTGTTGCATGGGCCTTGAATCTTCAGGAGGCTCCCGCCTCGCTGAATGTCTTCATCTACAGTACAGTACTTGACGATATAGCCTGCCGGCAGGCTTCCCCGCGGCTGACGGAGTCCTCATGATAGCCTCTGAGGAGAGTCACAGGCGGCCTCGGATACGGTCATGGACGTGTCACCTGCCAGGCTGAGATGCCATGAAAGTTCCCTGGCAAGTTCCGATGCTCCCGCCGGCCCTGCCTGCCAGTGACCGACTGACCGTCGGACCGGGCCCACCGGGCCGGGCCCGGGCTCAGCGCGGCACCGTGCCTGCAGTCGAAGTCAGGGATGATTGGAAAATTGTGGGCCCGCCTCATCCTTTTGGCCTGAGACGTAGGCGGCACCTATGATGTGGTAGGGGTTGTACAAGAGTCGGGGTAGGGGTACTTGTGTATTGAGGAAAGTTCTACAGTGGTCTTCACAAAAATCCCTTGGGGTGACAGCCGGTGATATCTATATGTGCAGATATATGAAGAAACACTTATAGTAGTGAGGCCATGGCTGTAATGTTGGGTAGAAGCTGTTGAAATGGAATATGGGGGGGTAGGGGTATATATATGTAAGGTAGGGTAGTATTAAGTGTGGGTGGGGATGATAGCAGGGGTAGAAGGTTGTTCCCCCCCAAATGAAATGGAGGAGCGAGGGGGAGAGCAAGGAGGGGGAGGAGGAAGAGGCAGAGCAAGCGAAAGCAGCACCAGCACCAGCAGCATGTCCAGTATGACAAGTAGACACTGACAAGAAACAGCTTGAGGAGCAAGAAGAGGGACAGGAGTACATGAAAGCATGGTATAGAATGCAACATATGGTCCATCAAAATCAAAACAATATGAAAGATATCCTGACATTATCATTGATTCCGTTGCTTCTACTTCTTCTCCTTCTTCGATCATCCTCCCTTTGCCGTCTGCTTTTGCTTCTCTGGTAGCTCTTATTTTCCCTTTCAATGTTCTGAATCGCGGAGATATGATGGAAGTAGAAAGGGAAAGATTATAATGATAGATACGATGATCATGATCACCGAAAATATGAAGACCAAGGTCATGGAGATGTTTAGACGGTAGGAGCTGGAGATGGAAATAGAAAGACACATGGAGTATGAGGAACAGCAGGAGCAAGGGGGACGCGCTGTACCTGATGTTTTCAGACAGACATGGGAGTTTGTGTGGACAGCTGCAGCGATGGACCTCGCGCGATTTGCAGGATCCTTCAGGTGCTGGCTGCTGGTTTTCCTTGTTGTGCCCCCTCTCAAGGCGATGACGTGGCAGGCGATCATCAGCGGCATCTTCCTCTTCATCGGGATTGTCTGCCAGGTGAGGCAGCGAGGGCTCGAGGGCTCTTAGCAAGAGAGGGGTCTTGTCTTGCTGTGAGCTTGTTGCTCTCAGTTCTGGTCTGGTTTAAATCTCAACGACGTTCCTCTCTCTTCTCTCTGCGAGACCTACAGGTCCGCCTCGTCATCCTCGCCTTGAGCTTCTCTGCCTCACCTTGATGCAGTGGGGATGGTTCGCCAATGACTCAGAGCGACTTCTCTTCTCTCCTCCAATGGTTCTAAGAGCTTTTGCCTCCTCCTCCTCCTCCTCCCTCCTCCCTCCTCCCTCCTCCCTCCTCCCTCCTTCCGCCCTCCTCCCTCCTCCCTCTTCCTCCTCCCTCCTCCTCACTTCTTCTGTCTCTTTACTTCTCCTCACGCCTGCTCCCTTGGATCTCTGCCCTCACCTTCACCAGCTGTTTCTCTTCCTCCTCCTTGACCAGAGAGCTTGCTCAAACTCATCTCCCTCCCTTCCCAACCCCTCAAGCTTTACCATTCACTCCCCTCCTTCCCTCAGGTACAACACGTTCGTCGGTTGTAAGCAACAGACTTGCGCGTCCTATGAGGGAGCAGCATGTGAGTTCTACCTCCCCCCCCAGCTTCTCCTCGACCTGCCTCTCCTCACTCTCCGCCTCCTTCGGCTGCTCAACTTGCTCCAGCCTTCTTTCTCAATGGCAACTCCTACGCCAGCAAAGGCTCTCGCATCGACATGCTGCGGTCCGTGACCCTCGCGCTTGGCGCTGACTGACCCCTGGATGTGCTGCAGCTATGCGGACGCGAGGTTCTACTGCAAGTACGCCCCTCATCAGGTGTGAACCGCTCCCCTCCTTGGATCCTCGTTAGGCTGCTGATCCTCCTCGCTTCTCTCCTCCTTGGATCGTTCCTCTTGTGCAGGTCTCCTCGCAACCCCAGAGCGTGACCTGCATCACCAAGCTCATGAGCAATCCTTATTCGGACCCGTGAGACCTCCGTCTCCGCCTCCTGCTCCTCCTTTTCCTTCTCTTCCTCCTCCTCTCTTCCTCTCCTTCTCTCCTCCTCCTTCTCTCCTCATTTTTTGCTTTTCCTCTTCTTCTCTCCTCACACTTTCCAGGTATCCCTGCCGTCTGTGGCCCGGACAGCCTGTGGCCACTACAGACAAGTGCGAGCAAGCGGCGTGTGCGGCAGCTCTGACTTAGGTTGCAGCGCCAACTGGTACGTGCTGCCGACGGATGGGACGCGAGGGGCGATGTACCACATCAACTGCTATGACAAGTAAGTGGGGGAGAAGTGGAGAGGGCAGCTACAGGCGCCTACCTCTGACTTGAGTGCAGGCTTGCTGTCTACTCGGCGTTTCTCAAGTCCTTGTATCAAGGTGGTGGTGGGGAGCATGGGGAGGTGACCGTGACAAGCTGGCAGGCACCTGGAGCGACTCTCAGATCCAGGTGGCGCAGAGCGAGTTCCTGCAGGGCTGCGTGCTGGACAAAGGGTCGGACGGGTATATCCTCATCATCGGACCCATCTTCGCCATCCTCGGGGGCGTCATCACGACTCTGACCATGTTCAAGAAGTTCAATGGCCCGCCATGGCCTGAGATGGGGATGAATCTGCTTCTCATCTCCATCATCCTCCTCCTCGTCAGCTTCTGGTCCATCAGCTTGTCCACCACCGCCGACATCTCCGGCAACTACACCTACTGCGGCTCCTCGCAGGCCCCGTTGGTCAACCAGGGCCGCTGGTTTGACAACTCTCCCTGCATCGACCAGGACTCACAGGGCAGCCGGAGCTGGAACCCCTTCATTTCTCAGCTTCTCCTGCTGGACTCGGTGTATGTGGCTGGCGGCGTCCTGACCTTTCTGTCGACTATCATGTACCTGGGCCTCTCGTCGGGCTTCACTGAGAGCATGATGAGCGAGAAGTTCGGCAAGTACCTCGTCACCCTGCAGGACATCCCGATGAAGATCCGCCTCCCTTTCCCTCCTAAGAACGCCAACCCAGCTAAGCAGTAGCTTGGCAGCGACTGAATATGAATGATCAAGTCATGCTTTATTACTCCCCTTCTCTTTCCCCATCCCCTCCCGCTTCCCCCTCCTCTCCCTCTTCCCTTTCTCTATCCCCTCCTGCCTCTGCTGCCGTTGTAGAATTACTAAGGTACTTCACGCACCATTCCTTCCAGCCTCCTCCCAGCGTCTCTTCTAGAACTTCTTCGCTCGCCGACAAGCTGCTCACAACTCCGCTGCAGAAATTTTTCCAGCTCATCCCGTCCCCTTGCTGGGCCCCAGCTACACCCTGCGCTCCCTGCGCTGCCTTCCACGCGTCACTTCCGTGGACGTTTTCGCAGAAAGAAGCTCCATGCTCGGTCACGCACTCGTCTTGGTACCACGAGCCGCAGTGGGGAAGGTGACGGGAGACTTGATGTAGGCGCGGACATCTGCTGTAGGAGCCAAGACCCCTCACCGCCTCCTCCACATCGTCCTCGCATGCGTTGCACATGCACTGGAGAAACTCGTGCATCTGACTGCAGTGCTTCCAGAGAGGAAACGATCGCTTCCTCACTCTGTCTTTGCACTCTCGTTCCTTCTCGAACGCCCTCGAGCTCTTGCACGTTTGTGCCGGGTTGATCCACGCCTAGCATGTAGTCAGTGAGAAGAGAAGATGATGCAAGGAAAGGGCATGAAACAGCAAAGGGGGAAGAGCTTGAAAGAGGCGAAGAAAGGAGAGGGAGGAGGAGGAGGAGAAGGGGAGGAGAAAGCGAATGTGACGAATGTGACAAGAACATGGCTCACAGTCTCGTCGTTGAGCAGGGTAAGAGCAACTCCGTAGCGAGATTCTCCAACGTGAGAAAGCACAGCTGGGCACCAGGCAGCATCAAGCGGGGCATGGCAGAGCAGGCGATAGCTATGAACCCCTTAGTCATCGTCACTTGCACAAGGAAAACCTACGAGGAGAAGCAGTTGCCTCCTGGCTGAATGTCCTGAAAGAAGGGGGAAGAGGAGGAGAATTAGGATCAGCAGACATCCAAATCATCAAGTGCACACCTCGTTCATGTCCTGGCAACCTGCTACTCTTCTCATCTCCAGCACGGTTTGTCTTTCTCGCTCGTCCTTGACCCAGAAGCTGCGTCGTACGTCATCTCGCATGTCGCTCAAGCGCATACACAAACTTCTCGTTCCACGTCCACAACTTCTGCGGGTCGCAGGCCATGCATGCGCACTAGAAGAATATCAGAAAGAGTAAGGGCAAGAGGTCACGGCAGGCCTGGAAGGGGGCGACATAGTCATGGCAAAACCTCGAGGAGGTTAGGAGATGTCTGCTGTTGTCATTGGCTTTCATCTGGCAGGGAAGAGGATCAGACGCCAGAGGACGAACGTCTGCGGATCTTCTCTCACCTCCATCTCTTCCTTGCATCTCCTCATTCGCTCCATGTCGCAGGCGCTGGGTGGTACCGACCCGACGTGACCTGTGGACATCCTGATGTGCCTCCACCTTCCGCCCTCGGAGGAAGCAAGAAGACTGACTGAACTGCTGCCAGGCTGCAGCCCCTCGTCTCCTTCCTCCTGCCTCCTCACGCTTGTCATCATCAACACGCTCAGCATCAGGGACGTCGCCGCCACCGCCACCATCGCCACCCGCATCTGCATTGCCGGGACCTCCCAGATCCCACCCCTACCCCCAGGAAGGATATACTCGGTTTCAATCACCCCCGGGCTAACATAACTAAAAGTACCCCACCATGACCATTGTTCGAGCCACCCCCCACCCCCTTTTACCGTCTGAGTGTGTCTCTTCGCTGGCTTCACCTCCCTGTGAGATTTTTATTCAAAGTTAAGTAACTTTTGCCCGGCACCGTTGAGCCGGCACTGCCGGCGGCCGGGCCGCTACTGGCTAGCCGGCCGGCCGGGCCCGGCCCGCGGCGGCCCGGCGGTGAGCCTCCCGGAGTCCTCGGAGTCGGACTCGGGATGCTGACGGCCGCCGTCACTGCCCAGCCCCCCGGCCCGGCCCGGGCCGGGTTGACACTTACTAGTTACAGTGAGACTGAGACGGTCCCCGGCCGGCACGGTACCGTAGTACCGTGACGTCCACGGTCACTGTGACTCGGAAGTCCGGGCCGGTGTACTACGTACTAAAGCCTGCAGTGTGCAGTGTGCCGCGTGAGTGCCGTCACCCCGGTCGGCCCGACTGCCACTGCCAGTACGGTGTACGGTCCGGGCCGATTCAGGGCCATTTTCAGTTAACTAAGTTATAACCTATTGTAAACGACATAGAGTACTAATTGTTACCATGTATTTGTACCAGAATGGCGCAGCGTTCGCGGTTGTCCTGGTACCTCAATATTTACTCATCTTTTAAAAATAGTTTTAAGTTTGTGCACCAGGGACGCTTTCTGTAGTTGAGGAGGGTTTGTCTTTTCCGGCGGGGGTCTTCTCGCAACTTCTGTTCTTGAAAATCACCCACCTTGCATCCCGCTCATACATCGTTCTCAATAGTGCAGGAAGTATCAAATAATCACTCAATAAACTTCTTTGCTTACTTGTAGGATTTTGTACTGTAATATTGGCAAGACTACGAGACAATATTTATTATAAAAGCTCTACCCAGGAGTAAAGGAAAATATTTATATAGTAGAATTTTTATAAATATTTATACATCATTCACTACCAGTAGCGGTCCCTTCAAATCTATTTGGGAAGAAGAACCTTTTAAAATATTTTTTGAATACAATTTGTTTTATCGACTGTATTAGCTGAGGTACTAAAATTAGTATCGGTTTCTTGAAAGGAGCTGCAGTACATCAAGTTGCAGGCAACTGGTACCACCCCCTTCCCCCGTTCCGAAAATTACTCCAAGGGTACACGCGGCATGCAAGGGGAACGAATGGAAGCGGCGAGGAGGAAAGGGCGAGCGCTGCGAGCCAAGCATGAGACAAGACAACGAGCTGGAGGAGGAGGAGGAGGAGGAGGAGAGGTGGAAGATGTGGAAGGAGGTGACAGCGATCACTGTGTGATCATCCGCGAGCTCTGCGTTAGTGATGGCAGTGACATGCCATGCACAAAGCCAGTCATCGACCGGCATCGTCAGGGTCGAAAGGTCTCCGTCGCATCTGCCTGTGAGGAGTCTTCGGAGTGCTACAGCAGAGGCTCAATCTGTGAAGACACCAGGAGACGCAACTCGTCACGAGGAGCAGGCATCATGAGAGTTCTGTTGAATTTCATGTCTTCATCCATAGCCAGCTTCCTCTCGCTGCTACCATGCTTAGGCCTGCGACCGAATAGACTAAACCTCATCGCATGCGCGGGAATGTGCTTTTTCGTTCTAGACTTTACTCCCCAGTGCTTTGCTCTCAAAGCTGTGGGAGGAGACCTCACGGCCAGGCAAAACGTGCGAGAAGTGATGAGAAAGTCGATCAGTCGCATGGAGGTGCAGCTAACAAGCAAGAAAGACGTCATGTCGACAGAAGAACAAGTGTTGTTCACCCAAGTCTTGAAGGCGTAAGTACTGCAAGTGCCATCTTTGCATGTCATTGCCTCGCCTTGTTGAGGAGGGGGTCGATCACATGGGTGATGGTCTTGTGCAGGGGGAAGGAGAAGTTTGCCGATTTCGTTGTCAACGAAGTCTTCCCTTTCAGCGACTCTCAATGCTCCTGGAGCTTTGACAGCATGAGATGCGAACCTTGTGGTCAATGCCGCATGATACCCACGGTTACCTGCTGCTCCTCAAGCCCCTCCCAGTCGCTGACACGAGTTCCTAGGACAAATTTCCTTACGCAGCTTCATGCTCTCTGCTCCCGGAGAAAGACTGGAGCAACTCCAGCAGCGTGTCGAGGTGCTCAGATCGCTTGCCTGAGGTCTGCAGAGAGGGATGTTGTTGCGCGATAGGCTGACGTGCTGCTCCTAGAGGGTGCGAGGCTCCAGCAACCCCTTCAAGTCGATCTTGGCCTGGAGCTCAAGACTTGTCCAAGCTCTGCGAAATTTTGTACAGAGAGACGAGATGCTGGCACGGGAGAGGAGCGACGAGAAGATGGCGGAGCTGATGGTGAAGAAGCGAGGGTTGCTGGGTCAGAGGATCTATCGCGCCGTCGTCAAGTTTGTGGAGCTGCAACTTCCGAGGCTGAAACGGCCGACGGGGAGAGCGACTTGTCATCCTGTCGAGAGTCCCTTGAGCTCTCACAACAAGAGCAGCCACCTCGTCTGCGTGAAAGTTGGGCAGGACCAGCCAGATCACAAGTGCTACCGTAAGTCGACGAGCTGCGACGCCACGAGCTCTTGCCGCCTTCATGTGCCCAATGTTGCGGTGGAGCGGATCCTCCTCTCTGTCTTCTACCTGAACAAGCTCATCACTCTGCTGGGCAGCTCGTGGGCAGCCTCGAGTGTCCGTGTCTTGGCAGCATCCCGCAAGCTTGTGGTTGGCGGGCTGCTGCGGGTGAAGTCGATAGGAGAGGAGATGAGGAGCTGGCACTGGACCTCAGGCTTGACAGAGAAGCTGAAAGATCGCTTCCTGTCGATCAAGGAAAGACTTCACGGGATTGTGCGCGTGGTGCGGGATGGATGGACGGAGAGGAGGAGGAGTAGGTCTGTCTTGCCTGTGCTGCTTCATCGCTTCAGAGGGCTGATTGACAGGGTCATGGATGCAACGAAAGCAGCAACCTCATCCTCATCGCGGAAGTTGAAAGAGCTCGTCTCTGCCGTCTCGTCGACGATCAGGGTCCTTCACGAGCAGGCTGTGAGGAAGGACCTCAAGTTTCTAGCGTGTGTGGTCGGCGTGGAGGAGATGTCGAGCAGGCTCGTGGCTGACATCTCGACGAAACGAGCTGCCAATTTGATTGTCAAGGAGATTCTCAGCAACTAGATTGACTCTCGACCCCGAGCTCTACCAGCTCCGGCTACTAGACAAGTCCGACTGTCAGCGGTCACCCGTCACGGCGTTACATTTCTTTAAGATTTAGGTTGTAGATCTTGAATATCTTCAGTGTCATCTCCATCTCCAACTCGAGCCCACCTGCTCAGTTGTACAAGCCTGAAGCCTCTCAGCCACCAACAGAGTGGCGGGGGCCGGGGCTCTGGGCCCGCGGCCATACCGTCTGAAAACCGGGAACCCGGGATCAGCGGAGTTGAGCCGAGTCACAGGCTTCGAATATAGTACTTTAGCTAATTCTATTTTTTTCCTGAATTCTGTTGGCCAACGGACCGACCGACTGGCGCATGAAAGAGAAACTCGGAGAGAGAGAGAGAGAGAGAGAGAGAGAGAGAGAGAGAGAGAGAGAGAGAGAGAGAGAGAGAGAGAGAGAGAGAGAGAGAGAGACAGACAGACAGACAGACAGACACACAGACAGACAGACACACAGACGCACAGACACACAGACAGACAGACACACAGACACACAGACAGAGTGGGGGGAGGGAGGGAGAGAGTGGGAGGAGGGAGAGAGACAGAGAGAGACAGAGAGACAGAGCGCTGATACATGCAACGATGTATACACATATCCGCTATATCTCTATTGATGCATATCAACTTTTGTGTACCCATTGATGAGTGAATGGTTGAAGCATCTCTTAAATAGTTCTAGTGTATCTCTCTTGCAAGACTGAAAAGGTAACAGGGCACAGGGCTCTGCAAGCATCTATCTGCCCTAGCACTTTTGAGCATCTCTGTATCTTCTGTGACACATCTTCCTTCTCCTCAACCCTCAGAGCAGGAAGCGAGAGGTCTCCTCGGATTATCTCAGCATGGGCAGGTTGCCTGGCGGGATCGTCGATGATGTGCGAGAGAAGATCATCCAAGAGATCGAGCGCAAGAGGATGACAGAGTCGCATCTCGGCAAGCTCGACTGTTGTGTCGCCGTCGCTGAAGCTTGAGCAGGAGCATACCTCAAGCATGAAGATTCCATGGATGGAGGGATAAGGTTGGCAACAGGCTGCCAGGAATGACGGGAGGTGACGGGCAAGCAGGCTCGAAGACAACAAAGACAACTTGTATAGAGATTCGTCTCGTCGCTCCTTCTTCAGGAACAGCATGTCCAGGCGAGGGCATGTCAAGGTTGAGGTTGACCCATCCATCCTCTGACGTCAGTCCTGGGACAGGTCTCTCCGATACCCCATCCGCACATCGCGCAAGACAGCTCCCAAGAACATCGTCACCTCACTACCAAAGAAGGGGTACTGCAGCCCTCTACCTCCTCCCTCCTGACGCTTCCCAAGGCACTTCGCCTCCACCCCGTCGCTGACCATCGGATCCAAGTGACGAGCGAATTTCCCTGCCTCTCGCCTTCTCTCACGCGAACGCAGGGCCCGGGGTGTGTGCGGGGAGTACATCTACACGATAGAGGGCCCTGCTGACCCTCCTCCTCTTCCTGTCTCTTTTTATCCTCCTTTCAAGGCCTCCAACCCAACCAAGAAGATGTCCTTCTTCTTGGATCCTCCCCACAGCATCTGACAGGTAGCGCAGACATGGCTCGGGGACAAATGAAGGATTGTTCCAGGTTGCTGTGGAAGCGGAGGGAGGAGGAGGAATGATACAAGTGTGTAGGCGCCGACGTATGAGATACAGGGAGTGAAACCGAGGAGCAAAACTTTCGAGGCAACTGGTGCTTAGGGAGCACATGTCAGCCGGTTGTTGAGCATTTCTCACAGGCAACAGGATGATCGCTCAATCCCTCTATCCCCTCCAAGTGTTTCCAACAGCCGTCACCTTCACTTAGAACCAAGCACGAAAAAGAGGAGATGCTGGTGTCTGATGTAAATACATGCCTATCCTTGAATTCCAACAAGGACGCGAGAGATCAGTCAAAACTTTCCTCTCCTCGCATGTAAGCTCAGCACTTCACTCGTTGACGCTCAGCGATGCTGCGCATTTCCTGCACGTGTGTCAATCTTGGCTTGTCTGTTGCTAGAAACATCTACACCTGAGCACATCCCCGACAGCTCCCCACTCGTCATCCTTGGCCTGCGCGTTCAGGATGTAAACCTGCAAGTCCACATCAGATGGAACTTCTCCCGTCCTGGCCTCCCACATTGTCCGCCGACGCCGCAAAGGAGGAAACAACGTGCAGCTTGGTCTGGAGGGCCGTCAGACTGACGTCAGTCTACTTCTCCTCGCGTCACCTCTTTGCCCGCGAACTCAGTATCAACGACGTACTCGTACATGTACTTGTCTACACTCCCTGCCTCTTCATTGTCACGCCTTGAGCTGCTCTTGCAATAGACTCGCCTGTTTTGATCGGCCCCGACTGCTTGATGAGATGAAACTTGTCACCGAAGTTCTTCGTGTAGCTTCAGAGCAGCATCTTAGTGAGAGTGCAAGGCATCATGCTGGCTGACCTCTCGACGAGGCTTGGCTTCCACGTGTAGCCCGAGTTGTCAATCTGCTACCCGTTACTTTTTCCTTCCTGTCCCCGCACCTTACCTTCTCGACTTCGCTGAAGATTGCGATTTCTGGCTTCTTCTTGTCTCTCAGCAGAACGCTGCCAGGACGAGCTTGAAGCCTGTCGAAGACTTGCACTCTCTTGAAGAACACGTCGGTCGGCTTCTGAAAGGAATAGCCCTGCCCGCTGTACTTCCCGGCTGCGACCTGAAGCGTCTCTACCTCGTACTTGGCGTTCTCTGGAGGCTCAGGGCAGCTCGCTGCTGTGCACTCCGCTTTAGGAAGTTCAGCGAAGGCGGGGAGAGACGAGGCGAGGAGACAAGACCCGAGGAGAGACGAGACGGCTTCCTTCCTGCTCATTCTTGCCTCTGCCGTCATGTACGGCGACAGCGTCGTCGAGCTTCGCCGAGGAAGCTGAGAGGAGGACGAGACCTTGCAGAGAGCTTCTGCTGAACGAGAGGAGGAGCGGAGAGCGAAGGGCTCGGGGCCTACCAGGAAGCAGCTTGCTGCCATGGGCATCGCTAGCGCTACTACAGCCTTCATCTGCATTCGAGCCACCTATTTGTGATAGACCACCGGTTCGATTTGTAATATTTTCAGGGGTAGGGGTAGTGGGAATTTCTTTTATATGTGACCCGCGGGCCGCCGGGCTGGCGGCCCGGAGACCGAGTCAGACTCTCAGTGCTTAAAGATTTACTCAGCGATAGTATCGCCCCGGCTTCAAGTTTTAGCTGCCATACGGTATTTCCGACTCGGAGGCCCTCAGTTGCCATGATACGGTTTCAGTCACACTGGGCTGGGCCCCCGGGTAATGGTTCCCGGCACTGCGGCACTTCACGCCGGCCCGGCGGTCCGCCGAGTCAAGCTGGGGCGGACTCTCTTCTACGTCATTTGACAGAAAAAAAGACTGGAGAGTAAACCCGAAAACAGACGCCGGCATGGCAGCCTTGCATGGAGGTTGTGCAGAACAGTTCAGGTGAGAACGATGAGAGGAGAGGAGAGGAGAGGAGAGGAGGGGAGAGGAGAGGAGGGGAGAGGAGGGGAGAGGAGGGGAGAGGAGGAGAGTGGAGGGGAGGGGAGAGAACGTAGGAGAGGAGAGGAGAGGAGAGGAGAGAACGTAGGAGAGGAGAGGGAGGATGGAGGAGGGGGAGGGAAGTTGAGGAGAGAACAAGAAAAGGAGAAAAAAGAAAGGAACAAGACAGTCGTGATGAAACCTGGATGCATTATTGTCACACCATGCATATCGTATCATTATCGATGCACCTCAAGGTGTGTTGGAAGCCTTTAGTAGTTATGTCAAGTTCTGCCTTGATGAGTCATCCTTCTTATGTCCAAGATTTCTCTCTCCTTCAAGCGTATCCTAATACAGTCTGCAGTAGTGCCAGCGACAGTGATGAAGCTGAGCTGCGAAAGGATGCCGAGTTTCCTGGTGCAGAGAACGAGAATGATGAGGAAGGAAAGAAGAAGAAGAAGAAAAACAAGAGGAAGAAGAAGAAGGCCGGGGATGGAAGCCTTGAAATGGAGCAAGACCCCGATGCTCGCGCTGCAGGACGAGCCCTACCTCATGAGGCATAGACAACCTGCTGACATGTGTGATGCTTGAATGTTGAGCTGATGCATTCTTGGCAGGGCATGTCGCGAGCTGGAGATGCTGATGGTGCTGTCGTCGTGACTCTCCTTGTGCTCCCCTTACATGATGTCAGAATTGAACCCTGAAGCGCTTGCTGAGATCACCCGCACGGTACAGCAGGAGATGGCCGAGCAGGTGAATTGCGTGGGGCGAGGGCTGCATGAGATTGACTGGAGCCTGCAGCTGAAGATGATCACACAAGAGATGAATCGCTTGAAAGCAGAGCTGTCCGAGAATCTCCCGTGCCTCCCCTTGTGCTCACCTTGTCCCAGGTACTCTGAGAATGGAGGCCTAGCTGAAATCCAACGCAGCCTGGAGTCCTTCAAGTCCACCAAGATGCTCGACAACACGTCCAAGGTGATCGATGCAAGCCCCTCAGTCTGTGCTCTCTATCCAAGGAGACTCAAAGCTCGGGTCGATGCTGATCGCTTGTCAGGACGCCGAGGCCCGGCGCGGGCAGAGGGCGCAAGTGGGGCGAGAGCAAGCTCGAGCCGAGTCCAAGCCAGCCCCCGACAAGAGTGACCTGGAGCAAGCCATGGCGATGCTGCAGGAACGACTCAAGAGCCCCAAGGCTGTTCGCTGGGGAGGAGCGACTGAGCGGGAGATACCAGACAACATGCGGGACGTGCAGGAGCAGAGGATGGGAGACGTCGGACGTTCAGCAGCTGAGAGTAGCGCCTTCGATGACATCCTGCGTGAGGCGTTGAGGTCGCGAAACAAGGACGCGGAGACTGCGAGAAGAGTGAGGGAGGGGCCGAGCTCTGATGCTCACCAGAGGTGCGAGCGTTCTACTTGAGGTGCGAGTGTTCTACTTGACATACGTCTTTGTGCAGATTGCGGGATGAGGAGCGGAGAAGAGATGCGCGCGCAGGAGGGACGGCAGCAAGCAACAGCAACGACGATGGTTTCAACTGGAAGGTTGCGCTGGTTATCGGTATTCTGCTGCTCTTAGGACCATTCAGGTAGAGCATGCTGCTGTGCGAGTTACGACAGATTGATGTGCCTGTGACAGGAACGTCCTGACCGAGTTGTATGAGATCTGTGAGTGCTCAGGCTTCTGTCCTGCTCAACTTCATCCACGTCCTCCCTTGTTCCTTCGCTGACTGGCTGCCCTTTCGTTGCAGTTTTCCCGGAGGACGAGGATTTCAACGAAGACTTTCTCATCCAAGTAGATTGACTCTGATCGGGCCCGGGGAGGCCCTCCGAGTGAATTGCAGCTAGCAGTCACGGTTGTAGTGACTCTTCTCAGTTCATCTTCCGAGTGGGTCTAGTAGCACAGCTTTTAAGTTTCACGCTTTGATGAAGTGAGTCTAACAGTCCCGAGACGGGACTGAACTGAACTGTTGATTGCCGCTCCGACAGTCCGACGACTCCGCCGGGCCGGGCCCGGCCGCGCCTCCGCACCGCACGGCGAGGCTACCGTACCGGACGCCCCGGCATGGCCCGGCCCCGCCGCCCCGTCCCCGGGCCCAGTGCCCCCGTCCGGTGAAGGCTCTCCCCCGGTCCGGCGGGCCGCGGCGCCGGGCCCGGCCGGGCGACGTGAGGCTCCGCGGCCGTGTGCCGGGGTGGGAGTATCCGGAAAAGTATCCGGAATTTCGGATACTGGCAGGGGCGCAGGAGTTTCTGGATCATTCCTCTGCAATGGCAGGTCGCAAGGACGGGACGCGGGGAGGGGCCATGGCGGGAAGGTGAGAAGATGAGGGGAGGAGGAAGATACAGAGAAAGATGAAGAGCAGGAGAGGGTTAGATACAGATGTTAGTGGAGATATTTGCTCTTGTTTCTTCATTCTTCCCTCTCTGAGAGTTAGAAGGGTCAAGAATGGCACAGTGAAAGCTGCAGCCCACCTTCTCTTCAGATATCCTGGATCAAACTTGTTCAATCGCATCTTGTTTCGCTTAGATGGAGGAGTACTCCCTTTTCCATCATGGCTTCTCTGTTCTCCTGTACCCTGCCTCGCATCAGGCTGTTTGCCATTTGATGATATTCTTGGAAAAACTGTGTTGCAGTTCCTTGCCGTGTTTAGCAAGAGCATGCATGTTGTTTGTTGTCATATGAAATCATTGACTTTTTATCGCATCTTTTGAGTCGTTCTTTTCGCCTTGTCTGCTTCGTTTGCTGTGTTGTAACATGAGAGCGGTTGACGTACACCTGCCGCAGGCTCGTCTTCTGCATGTGCGTGACTTTTCTTTGTGGTACGATCGTTTCGAATCCGATGCAAGGAGGCGAAGTGGCAAGACTGAATCTCCGAGCTTACCGGCCTCGTGCTGGCCATTCCTTGGAGGGCCTCAGATTACGAGGAGGAGCCGAAGGTCATGTGCCAGGAGTAGCATGGTCGCAGCGACAGAACACCCTGTTGTTCAAGGTTGACGTCCCGCATGATGCTGCTTCGGTTGTGGATGATTTGAAGCTCTCTGGCAACAAATTGACCTGGCAAGGAGAACTTGTCAACTTGAACCTGGAGCTCTACGGCAGTGTGGATGAGAATTCGATCAACAAGAAGTTCGATGGGTGAGTAAGGATTTTGGTGCATACCAGTTGACTGCTCGACAGAGGACGTATCGTGACTGTGGTAGCGACAAAGTCGACCAAGGAGTGGTGGCCGCGACTTACCTCTGGTCCCAAGCCCGCCAACGTCAAGGTAGATTGGGCAACCTGGCAAGACGATGCGGAAGGTCGGTGCTCTTTGTTTGTCTTGCTTTGGGCATTGTAGCTTTGCCCGGAGTTGTGAAGGAGCTGACTTTGAGATGGTGCAGATGAAACAGCCAAGTACGACTCTATCGGAAAAACAGGAGAAGGGAACTTTGATGACGACTTCAACTTCGATGAGCTCAACAAGGGCAAGGACAACTCCAAGGTGAACCTCAAAGTTGGGCTGCTATTTGTGTGCTTACTCGCCCCGTGAATTTCAGTGGGCGGAAAACGATGATGCTCCAGAAGAGAATGACGATGGAGATGCAGACGACAAAGAAGAAGCAAAGAATGATGGGGTTGAGATCATGGAAGACGAGGCTGAAAAAGGCAAGGAGCCCCCGGCTCAGAAGGAAGGCGATGGAGACATGCCTGATGCGTGAAATGTGACCCGAATTTTCCAGTGATGCTCATTTGAAGGTTGAATGTTGTGACGAAAAGGATGCAATGGACCGCGAGCAGACTCGCAATATCTAGTTTGCTCGTTGATAATACAAAAACAAAGAGATGTCCACCACGAAAGCATGCCATCTCCTCGAATCACTATGATCGACACTTGGCGATTGAGAAGCGCTGCTAGCTTAGGGTGTCTTGGTGTAGTAGGGGACACCCGTCACTTTCTTCCCCTGCAGGACAAGTAAGGGCAGCATATGTCTGCGCATCTCCTCGCGCTACCTTAGCTTCGTTCTGAGCGTCCTCTTGCTCCTGCTGCATGTACTTCTGCGCCTGGGCAGTCTGCAATCGCAAAGTCTCACTGGAAGACAAGTACACTCAGAGGTACCTCATCCAAGTAGGAGGAATCGACAGGCAACGGTGTGATGCCCATCTCCAGAGCCCCTTGCTTGGTTGCGGTCTTTGCAGCATTGTCGTAGACTTCCTCCTCGCCTATTCCCCAGACGAGCGAAGTAGGAGAGTTGCTATGTCCTCCCGACCTCGTGATCAACACCAAGGCAGCAAGTAGCGCCAAGAGGACCAAGGGGACTGTCAGAAGTCTTGTCTGCGATGACAGCATTCAGATCATAGAAGAGAATGTTTGTTTGCTGGATGTTTCAATTCGATGCCGATAAAACTTCCATGGCTCAGTGACGTTGGGATCTTCGTGCATCCCAGGTTTGATTTGTTTAGGTCGAGACTTGTGGTCGGGCTATTCCTCCTACATCCTCGACATTCGACTCCCCTCAATCTCCTCAATTTGACTCACAAGCAATCTGAGAATGTACTTTCTTAATCTGATCTAAACCAAGTCACTTGTGCCAACTCTATTGCTAACTGCTGGCATTTCTTGATCTCCTCACCATACCAAACCCGTTCGTCTCCACATCTCCTGACCTTCTTCCGCTGTGCCTTAGCATCTCTTCATCTCTCTCGCTCCCTCTCCTCACATCTTCTCTCTCTTCTCACCTTCTCTTTCTCTCTCCACGTTCTTGGCGCCGTGAGTTCCATTTCGCTCAAATTCCCGAAATAGACGAGTAGGGCCGTGCATGAGTTGGCAATAGTCACTGAGTTCTACGCCGCCGATCGCCCGCCGGGCCCCCGGCCGGATCATCCGGCGATCACTGCGGCCTCCGAGTCGGACTCGGGGCCACTCAGAGTAAACAACTACAATCACTGGGGCACCAGGAGGGCTAGTCAACTACTCTAGTACACGTACTGGGGTACCAGGAGGGCTAGTCAACTACTCTAGTACAGGTACTGGGGTACCAGGAGGGCTAGTCAACTACTCTAGTACAGCCTGTACTGGGGTACCAGGAGGGCTAGTCAACTACTCTAGTACAGGTACTGGGGTACCAGGAGGGCTAGTCAACTACTCTAGTACACGTACTGGGGTACCAGGAGGGCTAGTCAACTACTCTAGTACACGTACTGGGGTACCAGGAGGGCTAGTCAACTACTCTAGTACACGTACTGGGGCCCAGCACCAGGAGGGCTAGTCAACTACTCTAGTACAGGTACTGGGGTACCAGGAGGGCTAGTCAACTACTCTAGTACAGGTACTGGGGTACCAGGAGGGCTAGTCAACTACTCTAGTACAGGTACTGGGGTACCAGGAGGGCAAGTCAACTACTCTAGTACAGGTACTGGGGTACCAGGAGGGCTAGTCAACTACTCTAGTACACGTACTGGGGTACATCTCTCAATTCATCTATTAACTCGCTGCCGCTAGGACCCATCCTGCTTCCTTCACCCGACGAGCCGTCAAGATCCTCGCCATCCGGCTTCCTGCTCGTCTGAGCTGCCTGATCGGTCTTGGGCATGAGCCAGCAGGGGGCTGGAGGGGGAGGAGCTCATGGCCTTCAGGATCTTCTTTCTGAAGTCAGCATGCGCCCTCCGCAACGTCTGGCATGACCGTCAGCATCACGAGGAGCAGGCGAGACTGAGGGCCTGCGGTGGTTCGCTCACCTCCATGTTCTTCTTGCTCTCCTCGTGGATGCTCTCGATCTCTTCGCGCGCATTCATCGATCGCTGCAGCAGTCGATCCTGCTGGCTCGCATGCTCGATGCTTCCTATCTCCCCTGCTGCATCCACGGGGCTTCGGCCCGGCGAGCTATGCCTGCTGCTCAGACTCTGCGACTTTGACAGCTCCGTGAGGGTGCGAACGTAGGCAGAGCTGCACTCCTCCAGGTCCGAGGTCAGCTGCTGCATCCTCAGGCCCTTCACCACTCGCTGTCTCCTCGCACCTGGTGGATCCTTCGCGTCTTTCGCTCGAGGCTGTCGCTCGCTCGGTTGATCTTGTTGCTCATGATTTGCATCTGAGGGTTCAGGTCACTTGCTGGCTAGTCACGAGGGAGCTCGAGCCTCGTCCGTCAGCCACCCCTGGATCATCGCGTGCTTGTCTTCAGCCTCGCTCAGAGACCTGGCTACGCGTCACAACCTTGCTGTCTTCGCCCCCTCAGCAAACCTCTCCACTTCCTTCAACCTCATCGAGATTCTTTTGATCTCCTGCCCCCGCACACCGTCAGGCGGCAGCGCGAGGCGACATGAAGCTCACGTTGTCTTTCTGGTGCAGCGAAGCCTTTAAGCGAACCTCGTTGTTCATGGTCGCGTCCAGCTGATTCTCAAGCTCCTGCAGTCATAAGCGATGAGAGGCGAAAGGGCTCGCAGCAAGCACCTTCAGTCGCTTCTTCATCTTCATCTGAAACTTGGAGCCTTCGGGGGAGTGGAGGTTCTGATACGCTTTCAACTCCTCCTCCAGCAAGTCTTTGGCCTTGTTCAATCTCTCGATCTCTTGTGCCACTGCGAAACCCTTCACTCCGAGCTGCAAGCTTCCAGCCACGATCTTACTTGAGTCCATGCCATTGTTCTCGTATATCAGCAGATTCTGTGGAAGTGATATCGAGATTTCCCCGTTTTGGGAGTTTGAGAGTCTTGCTTTGTCTTCTTTGAGGCGATCTATCTGCGTGGGCAATCAATGAGACAAGCGTCAAGTCTTGTAGACTCTACCATGATTTCAGCTCGCGTTGCTCGTAACAACAACCTGCAACGATGTAAGAGGGATGGTTCTAGTCATGAGCAGGGACGCAAGTTGCCTTTTGATGGTGTCAAGACAAACGTCAACCTCACTCGAGTGCTGCATGCTGCGAGGAGCAGCAGCCTCCTACTCCAACGAGTCAGGCGCAAGACAGGAGGAGCTGCTGCTAACCCAGACTTCATTCTCACGAGCTTCTCTTCTCGCTGCATCGTTGCTCGACGTGTGCCGATCCCTAGAGCCTGGGCCGGAAGCAGTGACAGGCATGTCACCCTTGTGTCGTAGGTGCTCGACGATGTGTCGAGGGAGCGACTCTTTTGTTCTGCGCTGCTCGTCACCCAGGAGCGGAGGGGCTGCCGCATACCTGCTGGAGGCTCGAATGGTGAGGCGGACCGAGGTTCCAGGTCTCCCGGAGAGCAGGCGACTGACGTCTTGCGGATAAAGGTGACCGATCTGCTGGCCTTCCACCTCCTCTATGATGTCTCCTATCATCAACGGGCTTGAGGACGCCGGGCCCTGGAGGAGGGTCGAGTCAGCACAAGGATCGTCAGCAGAAGAGCGAGAGCAAGCTCCACCCGAGGCTGAATGTCGACGATCTGATACGGGCAGGAGAAGTCTTCCTTGCCGAACTTGATGCCAAGGAGACCATGCACGGCGTCTCGTCGGATGTCAACGACATGCTTCTCGAAGTACATTGCTCTTGTTGGCTCAACCCTCAGACAAGTCACTCTTTCCAACTATCAGACGAGAGCTCCTAGCTGAGATCAGTTGAGAGTAGATTCCTCACAAGTACCAGTTGAGAGTAGATTCCTCACAAGTACCCTCCAACAAATGCTCTGCTCCAACATCCTCCAACTTCAGACCAGTGAAGCCTTGAGCCCTGTTGACCTGAGGCACGCCCAATCAAGATCAGAACACAAGGATCCTGCATTGTGTCCGAAATACAATCATCGACGAGATCGATTCAACACTCAGACAGCTTCGAAGCTGAACACCAAGAGCTGCCTACCAGATTGAGCAGAACCTCTACCCTCTCTCCGCGCATCTTCGTCTTGCCGAAGTGCAAAACTTCATTACCAGGGGAACTAGGCGGAGAGCAGGGACAAAGGAAAAGAGTGTAGACGAAGCGCAAGGAAAGTAGGACTACGACCTCCTGCAGTCTGAACTCGCTTCCTGATCGCGATCGATCCTCGTCATCTCTGCTTTTCTTTTGATACAATTTTCTCTTCTTTTAATGATTGCTTGATCTCTGAATGCGATTCTTCTCGCTCCTCTCTGTTTTTCATCGCCTGACCATCCCATTCTTCTCTTTTGTGTTGTGCTCCCGACATTTACCTCCTTGTCTGCTAGTTTGCTTTTTCAATTCAAACTTCCTAAGCTATACTCCTCTACTTCTTTACCCCTCTCCTCCTCTGACTTCTTCTCTACTTACCTGCATCTCTACTCAACTGCCCGTCTGCCCCAGGCTACTCCTGTAGTCACGAGAGCATGTCGATCTGATCTGATCTGATCTGATCTGATCTGATCTGATCTGTTTTCAGTCTCTTCGCTTTCTTCTTCTGTGCTTGTGTGCATGTTCTCGTAACCACTGGCAACCATTACACCCCCTACCCCTCTCTTCCCACCCCCACTCGGAGGCCGCAGAGTAGACATTAGTACCCGTCCTCCTACATCTGGTTTCCGGACCTACAACCCCTCCACTCCATCTCTACGGACCCCAGGGTGAGAGAATGGTCCTTTCGTCGTGGGGGTGGTATCAGGGAATGATGGGGGTAGGGTGGTGATGGAGGTCAGGGGGTAGGGGTACGGTAACTTGTAACCGCTCATAACCGCTCAAAGTTATTCAAGCCTAGTAGTGACCGGCGGTTTCCGAAGTTCGGCGGGCCGCCAGGTCGGGCGATCTGAGAGGTCAAGTCACTGTGACTAGTATTGGGAGAAGAAGAAGATGATGATGATGAAGATGAACATGAAGATCAAGATGAGGATGAGGATGAGGATGAAAACGTGAGGGTACTGCTATATCTCATGTTTCAAGTGTTACAATAACTTGCTCTAACTGGTATGTCCGATCTGAGGTATTATTGCTCTGTGGTTTCACGAGACACTGAGAAAACAAGGAAGACGCTTGCAAGGAAACTCAATGCAATGTAATGGCGCATGGGAAATGATATCACGATCGATTCTTCACGTTCAGCCTCCCAGCACTGCTCTCGTCACAGAAAAGCTGTCGACATCAAAATCTTCTACATCCTTCATCCCTTCTTCGTCTTGTCGTCCATAACGAGAGACTTTGTCCAAAACTGTCTAGAGGAAGCAGGTAGCCGAATGTCTTCAACTTTGTGCCTTCCTCCTCCCCCTCCATCGCCTCCTCAGCATTGCTAAACGGTGCTTGACATTCCCTCCTCACCCTCGCTTCTTCTGAATTACCCGCTTTCTCATCGGCACCGTCTCCTCTTCAACAGCCTGCATCACGTTTGAGCAAAGGAGAAGGGATGGAAAAGGAGGGGCAGGAGAGAATCAGACGAGGAGAGAGGGTGAGAGGGTGAGAGAGGAGGAGAGGAGGAGAGTAGAAACACCTCATCTGGCTCTGCGTCCTCGATCAGCTCATCTCCCAAAAACGTCTTGAAGCTCTGGGACAGCAAGTCACGCTTTTGGCTCCACTAGTGCATTCTCCACCTCGTCATCGTCATCGTCATCGTCATTTTCCTCGATGTCCTCGTCGAAGTCTGGCATCACAGCACTGTACTCGTCATCCTCCACATCCTGAAGAGCCCGTCACTTCTCGTCTGCTTGCTCGTCTGACATCTCACCGGCATCTCGTCGTCCAGGTCTACTCCATCGTCATCATCCTCCACCTGAGCACGAGCGTGAGAACAAGCAAAGAGAGAGAGAGCAAGCAACGATCGCGTACAAGTCGAGTCATGCTCCTCGGGACAGGCAAGTCTTCGTCATCATCGATATCTTCATCAATAATAACCTTCTTCTGCTCGCCTTCATCAGCTTGGTTGCTGCTCCCCGGCCGTACGTCACTCACCTTAGCCTTTCCTCGCTTCTTCTTGGGGTTCAGCCGCGCCTCCTCCTCCTCGTCTGCTCGGATCATCGCATCGAAGGGCGACTCATGGAAACTGCTGCTCATCCCTCCTCCGCTCTTCACCAGCTCCCAGTCGTTGTTCTGGATCGAGTCTTCATCGTTGTCGTCCTGTCGCGGGCGACCGGGTCCTCGCTTCTTGCTTGATGCCGAGGGGTCGAAGCTGCGCAGGGAAGGAGGGAGAAACTCTCGCGGGATTCCGTTAAGTGTCTTCGCTTGGGGAGCAGCAGGAGGTTTGGCTTCAGGAGCAGGAAGAGAAACCTGAGCGGAGTCGAGGGAGGAGATTTTACTTCCCTCCGCGATGATGTCCGCCTGGTACTTGACGATCTTCGAGCTGTGCATGGTGATCGTCACTCCTGCTCTCCTCACGATCTTGGGCGCTTGCAGGATCTTCTCCAGCGCCTCCCCCGACGGGCGGAACTGATCGTCAACCTCTTCCACCCTGGTCGCTATGCTTCTGGCCACGAGCCCTGAGGTTGATCGCAGCATTTCCGGCATGTCCAGAGAAGACTCGTAGGAGCTATCCGACGAGAACCCGTCTTCGAGCTCCAGATCCACCTCCTTCTGCCCCCTCCCCCTAGCGCATGGACCGACACTGGAGAGGAGCCCGAGGAAGCGGAGGAAGAAAGACGGGAGCTGATCTTTGGGTTCAGACGTGACGGAGTCGGTGTCGCGCTATCTCCCAGCTCGACAGTGGATGCGAGCAGCCGGTTGATCAGCTGGGCTTTGGTCCCGTTCTTCTTGAGCCCACGAGCTTCGCACATGGAGCGGAGACGAGGTACCTTCATGGACTGCAGGTCGCGCATGCTGTACAGGTCCTGCTCGCCTCTAAGGGCTCCGGCTCCCATGATCACCTGCTCTCTCCCGTCTCCCTCAAACTCGTCGTCGCTGTCTTCCATCAAGTCATCCTCCTCCTCCTCCTCCTCCTCCTCCGAGAAGGTCAAGGAATCCGAAGGCAATGGCCGCCAGTTCGCTTTCTTGTCCCCAGCCTGCGCCGCCATCAGGACCATGTCCCATCCTCGTCTCGGGAGAGAGAGAGGCAAGGTGACGCGCGACAGCTGCGCAGGTCTGTCGCACTTGGCTGGAGAGAGCGTGTTCGCCCTCAGAGGTCTCATCCCAGACGACAGGAAGCAAGGAAGCTCGCTCGCACTGCTCGCTCTGCCCGTGATGCACAGCAGCACGGCGAAAAAAACTTCAGTTGACAACCACCTCATCCTTCTGATGTGGCCCACAAGCAAGGCGACATCTTGTCCCCGCCTGTCGTTCACCATCCTCGTTCTGTCGGGTCGCTGTGCTGGTACCTGGTTGCTCATCTTCCGATCTCTCTTGCGACAACTTCAAGGAGAAACCGAGGAAAACATCCCTGGCGAGCAGAGCATGTCACAAGCAGACAAGAGAACACAACAACTGAAACATCTGGAGCCCCGCATTTCTCTTCCGTGCGTGTGCTTTCCACCATCAACCATTCAAGTCTCACTACGATATTCTTGCCCCAAGCGTACTTCCCCCCTCACATCATCAGAACCAACTCATCTTTGTTTTACTTCGGTCACATGACGATAGTCTAGCTTCATGATTCTTCGAACTGTTCGAACATTTTGCCTTCTCATCCTCTCTCGTACATGATTCCTACACCTCCATAGTTATCTCCTGCTCTACATTTCATCTGTGAGTTAACTTCCTGTCTCTCTTTGACAGCCTTTCAAACGGCCATTGGCACTTACTTTTCTTCCTGCTCCTGCTCCTCTTCTCTCCGCCGACTCTACACTCCTGTATGTCTGCCCAACCCCGGCAATCACTGGAGGGCCACGTTAAAATCGGGGGACTGCGTTGGGTCGCAAGAAGAACGAGGGATCTATCGCTGTTGTACTTGTCTGGTTCTTTGGAGTCTTGATCTCACTGTCAATGTCTCATGTCTATCTTATTGTTTATGGTCATTTCTTGCTAAATCCCTCACATATCCGCCTCCTCTCTTTCAGGGTTAGTCTCAATTCCACTACCCTTTTCCCTGCAGTCCGATTCATCATCCCTACCTGCAGCGATACGCCCCCTCTCACATCGATCATCTCATCATCTTCTTCCTTCATAGTTCACAATTCCATCTACTCGCTCTGATTCCCGATCGTTCCTCTCCGTCCATTCACCATCGACACCATCTTCTCAGTAACCATCAAATGATAATGACTGAAGTTCTTGTGTTATTCCGAGTTCTCCCTATGACGAACGGTTTGTTCGGCGTTCCTCTTCTTTACATCTTTTGCATCTTTCGCATCGCCATCGTCATCCACATCTTCTCCCCTCGCCCCTCTCCAGGCATGCCGTCGCTGCTGATCAGCATTGCGGGCGGCCAAAAGCTTAGAGATGCCATACAGGGCGTTAAGACACAAAGCTTTCAATAATTTTTCTGATTTCGACGAATATTCAAGAATATTCTTTAAAATTTTTCCTATATTTTCAAGATATATACAAGATTTGAGCCCCTGCAGGAAAATGCGACCCTCGTCCGGCCTCCTATTCCCCTGCTGGTACCCCACCCTTTCCCTCACCCCTCATAACAACTACCCCCACCCCTTTCCAAGGAGATATACCCTCAATACTCTTCTACTACCCCATCGTGGTTCTCAATTTTTACCAGGTAAATGACCCCCACAAATACGAAAATGATGACCCCTACCCCCGATGACAAATTGTAACCACCACTCTATCTACCCTAACCACCACAAAGATCCACCCCACCCCATATATGCAGCGTCCAAGAATTCCTACCCTGGTCAGACTACCCCTCTTTTCCTCTCCATATACCCCTATTATTCAGATCAGGTACCCCTGGGTGACTGCGACCACCCTCCTCTAAAGTACCCCACCCTCACTCGGATGGACGCATGTGTCTTTACACCGGATTTTCCTCAGTTTCGCCGGGCCTGGGGCGCAACAGACACAGGAGCGAATGCCCCTGGCAGCTCCGCGCCGACAAACTAAACTTTAACTAAAAATGCAGAGGAATGCGGCTCCTTCCATGCGGTGCAGGCGCAGGAGGCGAAGGAGGACCAACAGGAGGAGGAAGATGGGAGCGAGAGATCCAGGAGAGTGAGGTGGTCATGGCAGGAGAGAAGCGAGGGATGGTCACTGGATGCAGTTTAGACTGATTGGCGTACAACAGGCATCGAACAATAGCATATCGTGAGCAGTACGAGAAGCAACTGCACTCGAGGAGGACACGGTGCTGTAGAGCTTTTGTAAGACGTTTGTAGTGAGGCAGGAACAAGGTGAAGTAGGAGGAGGAGGAGGAGGAGGAGGAGGAGGAGGAGCAGGTAGCCTGTTGCTGACAGAGAAGAGGTGGGCCCAGGAAATCGCACCATGAGACCTCTTGTCAGATTTTGGAGAATGGAGGCGATTCTGAGTTGATCTTTTAGGCAAGATGCACAATTGCATCTGATTGCCGGCATCGGTGAAGGAGCATCAGCAGCCTGAAAGTGAGTAGGATGATGCACGCGAAAGCTCGCGCTCTGGTCCGCCCGATCTTCTGCCTCAAAAGCGGTTGCTCAAGCTTCGTAAGGAGATCGCCCCAGCTCGTCGCTTGCTCGTCGCTTGCGAGGTCTTTCCATCAAACGCGACTGAAGCTTGCCGATGTCGACAACATGCATGAGTACACGGGGATAAGCTTGGAGGATTGGCAGGATTACAGGAACCAGGCAGCTATGCAGATCGGCACAGAAGAGAAGAAACGTTGGCCGCTGCATGAGAAGATCAAGGCTGCGGGTCCAGCGTATGTCAACGTGGCGAAGAAGGTGAGAAGCTCGTTACGTGAGATCGATAGAGTGCTGGACGTGTTTGAGCCGGGTCAGCTCGCCATCTCCTTCAACGGCAGTCAGGACTGCAGTGTCGTGCTGCACCTGGTCATGGAGGCTTGCCGGCATCATCGCTCCCACAGCTTCACGCACGTGCAGCCCATCTGGTTCAAAGACCCCGAGCATGAGTTCCCCGAGATCGTCGAGTACGTGAGCACAACGGCAGAGAAGTACTTCACCTATCAGGACATGCTCAAGTCCGCCGTCGACGAGAACCTCAACCGTCTCTGGACGATTCACGTCAGCGAGCCCAAGGACTTCATCGACGGGCTGATCTACCTGGCTCAGTCTACGGGCATTCGGTGTGTGATCATGGGGAGCAGGAGAACGGATCCGGGATGCAGAGACCTTTCGGACCTCGCCCTCATGGACCTCGCTCCCATCTTTCTCAGCTCCTCCTTGTCGAGGATCGAGCTCGAGACCAAGATCAACATGCTCCGGGTCGAAGGAGACCCGGGTTTGCCCGGAACGCTCACGAGCAAGGTGAGGGAGAGAGCGGAAGTTCGACGTGGGTTGACAACTTTGCCTTGCAACTCTTCAGATCAAAGAGCCTTCGCTGTTGAGATTCTCTCCTTCCCTCGAATGGTCTTTCCGAGATGTCTGGGACTTTATCCGTGCCGCTGAGGTACAAGGGAACTATCCCCTCCTCCCTTACTTGCTCGTTCACCCTCTCCTGCAGATCCCCTACTGCACGTTGTACGATCAAGGCTACTCCTCCATCGGCACCATGGTCGATACTCTTCGCAATCCTGCGCTCCTGCGGAGGTGAGTGGTCGCCAGTCAAGCCTGTGCGTCTGACCGGCTGCAGGGAGCAAGTGCAGGTTGAGTCGTCCGTTGCCTTGAAGAAAAAGTTGGACGAGATCCATGAGAGGTGGCGGAGCGCGAGAGGCGCCAGACGTCTGATGCCCTTGCGCAGGATGCGGAGGAATCTCGGCAAGGAGAGGTTCGAAGCGCTGGACAAGCTCAAGCTGAAGGATCAAGGTGATGCTCGAGTGCTGCCGGTGGCTGCTGACCCCGTGACAGGTGTCGCCATCTATGACTCGATGTACGACGAGCTCGAGGACAGGGAGCGCAGCATCACCTCTCAGCTGATCTCCCGCACCATGATGCAGAACCGAGAGCAGGACGGGGGAGCGGAAGATCTGGATGAGAACGAGATGGGAGGCCTCGCTAATCAGTACCTCTTGGCCTTGTCGAAGCAGGCGGAGGACGTGGACGAGGAAGCGGCCGAGGATGCGAAGCCTGAGGAAAACATCGCGAGCGCGCCGAGCGAGAAAGGAATTGTTGAGGATCAGGACGATCCAACGACGATGTACCTCCCGGCGTGGAAGCTCAAGGACGAGAGCAGGGAAGTGATCTCGCGCGTGCACGACCAGGAGCAGGGCATCATGGGGACTGCAGCGATCCTGGTGATTGGGGACGAGTTTATCTCCGCTGAGGTGAGGAGGAGCTTGTCGGGGTATGGGGGACTGACGGGACAGGGAAGGTGCGGGAGAGCAACTCGCACTTCATCAGCAGCAACCTGCGCAAGATCGGAGTGGCGGTGAAGCAGGTGATGATCATCGAGAGCGACATCGACATCGTCGCCTTCATGCTGCGTCGCCTCAGCCCAGTCTACCAGTACATCTTCGTCGTCGGAGGGATGGGCCCCCGCCACACAGACCTCACTCTCCTCGCCGTGGCCAAGTCCTTCGGGACAGGCGTGCAGGTGAGGAGGGGGAGAGAGCAGGGAGGACCAGGAGCTAAGGCAAGGCGGAAGGAAAGGATAGTAGGTGACACAAGATGAGAAAGATTCCAATTTAGGTAGAAGGAGGAGGAGGAGGAGGAGGAGGAGGAGGAGGAGAACGATGGGGATAAAGGGTTGGAGTAACAGCAGCTGGCAGGAGCATCCAGATCTTCTTTCAATGATCGAAGCTGGAATCCCAGCGGAAAAGTTTGCGCAGGTTGTCAAACCTTCGCTTCGCTATCTCCTCCCTCTCCTCCCCTCCTCCCCTCCTCCCCTCCTCCCTTAATCCTATAGCCCATAGATGTCTGTCACGTGCTACCGCTCACTCCATCATACAACTGAATCACTTCACAGGTGTTCAGCGAGTATCACTGGAGGATGGCTTTCATCCCCTTCGGAGCTGAGCTACTCGGTGCTTTACCCACCGCCTCTTCTATTGAGAGCTGGAAGTCAGTCTCCAAGTACTGGCCCGTCGTGAAGAAGAACAACGTCTACATCCTCCCCTCCAAGCCCTCCCTGCTCACCGAGAAGTTCCTGTCCATCCTCCCCCAGCTCAAGAGCTCTCCGCTCTTCCTCACCACCATCATCTTCCGAGTCGACAAGGTACTAGTGCCTGTCTGTCGCTTGCTTGCCTTGACCCCCTGGCAGTCTGTGATCGCTGAGAACATTGCTAACGCTGGTCTGCTCTCGGTGTTGCCGCTACTTTCACTGAGATGATGGCAGTGTCGAAGCATGAGACGGTCAATGCCAACTCCTTCACCAGGACTATGGATGACGGCACTGTCCGCACGATCGTCTACCTCGAGGTGAAGGAAAACCCCTCAACTCCATCATCACCATCACCTCGTGCTCTCTCTTCCCCCTTCTCCTCCTTTCCTCTCCTGCTTTTCCGCTCTTCGTCTCCTCCTCCTTCTCCTCTCCTCCTCTCCTTGACTCCCCCCCCTTATCTCCTCCTCTTCTCGCTCCTTCTTCTTCTCCTCTCCTCTCTTCCTCTCCCTCTCCTGGCTCCTTCACATCCGATTCTGTTATCGCTTCCTCTCTTTCTCTTCTCACGCTGCTGGTCAGTCAAAGGATCTGCATGAGCAGCAGGCGGCTGTTCAGTATATCTTGGGTTCATTGCCAGGTCAGAACTCGGAGAGGAGGAGGAGGAGGAGGAGGAGGAGGAGAGGAGGAGGAGG